ACCTGTACCCCTCCTGTACCCCTGCTGTACCTCTCCTGTACCCCTCCTGTACCTGTACCCCTGCTGTACCTGTACCCCTCCTGTACCCCTGCTGTACCTCTCCTGTACCCCTCCTGTACCTGTACTCCTCCTGTACCTGTACCCCTGCTGTACCTGTACCCCTCCTGTACCTGTACCACCCCTGTACCCCTGCTGTACCTGTACCACCCCTGTACCCCTGCTGTACCCCTCCTGTACCTGTACCCCTGCTGTACCTGTTCCTCCAGGTACAGGCAGCTGAGCTGTGCCAGCCCTGGGAGCCTGTTTTCTGTTTGCTCTGTGGTGCTGTTCAACCTTGGTGAAGGTAAATTCTCACAGATTTAGAGCCACAATCAGCCTATATTGTTACTGTGCAAATAAACATTCAGTAAATTCAGAGTGTGAAGAGACTTTGGACAGATTGTCCATCTAAGCCACGACAACTGAGGATTTAAAAGGAGGTTTCCCCTCCTTTCCCCCTCACCCCCACAATAGATTCTCTTATTCATTTAATGTTCCTGTCATCTCTCCTTTGATTTAGGTTTAGGCCATGGGATATTGCTGATTTTAGTCTTTCAGCTCTCTGAGTGTTCACCTTGGCACTGCTGCTGTCCCTTTGGACCTTGAATTTTCTTTATGGAATTTTACTACGTTTGGGCAGTGATGAAGGAACAAGGAACCCTTTCAAGAAGAGGAATCCCTCTAAGCCCTTCTTGGGGCTATACCAAATGTGTGAACCTCCTGAGGAAATTCAAGAATAAAGAACCTTTTCTCAGGCTGTCTTGGAAGGGAGCTTTGAAAACACGCTCAAGTGGGCTCAGAGCTCTTTGGAAGGGAAACTCCAGTTGCTGTGTTCTTTTCCTGAAAGACTGTTTCTGCAAAGTAAACCAGCAGGACCAGGACCACAAGAAATTCCTCCAGAGCAAAGCAAACCTTTTGCCTTGTTGAGACTCCAGCAATGGTGGAAAGTCCTCCCAAAGATACACAGAGCCTCACACTTCAAAGCTTCCTGAGGCAAAGTCTGAGACCTGTTGGTACAGTTTTGATTTTTAGTTTTGATTTTAAAATTGATGCTTTTACAGCATGACACGTGAATTGCTGTTTGTGGTGTCACAGTGATGAAAGCAGATGTTATTTTTACAGCTGTATATGTGTATTTTGAGATTTGATGGGAAATTGAGATTATTGCTGGTAATTTCCACTGCTCGCCTATCACAGGTAAATTATCTTCATGGACAGCAGGAAAAGGTGCTGAATTTCCTTTTAACCATGCTTTAGGACATTAATCAAGTTTTTTCCTTGCATTTTGTACAAGCAGGTCAGTCATTAAGCATTGCTGATTGCAGACACAGTATGCTCAGAGATAGAACATTTTACTTCAAACTATTCCATGTGGTTGAAAAAAACCTTTGAAGCTCTTTTATCTTTAGACTTCTTGCTGAAGCTATGGGTGATAATTTGAAAAAGCTCTACTGATTTTTAACTTTTGTATGTATTTATAGCCTCCACATAAGATAGCAGTGCTGGAAGACTAGAAGGGTGCTATTCAGTGTGGATAAAACCTGAATAAAGATTGCTAATGATGGCAAAAAATAGCTGCAAAACCCACAGGGGAAATGTGGGAAGCTGCTAGGAACTAACCCCTCAATTTCTATTCCTTCTTGTCTATGGGAATTTTATGAGATGAAGAGCAGGCCACTCTAAAAGGCTTCTCAACTTCCCTCTGAGTAGAGACTTTGAGAAAATATATTTCTTAATATTAAAATATTAATTTAAAAAAACCCTAAAAATTGTATCTGACTGAAAGGTATTTGTTCAGAATAATTAATTAGTCTTTCCTGTGTGCTTCTTATGTGAGCTTTATACCACCTCAAGGTTTGTCTCTTGAAAAACCATCCAGCTCTGCACAGCAGCTCCAGCACAATGGTTCCAGCACCAGGGATTAAAGCACACGAGTGATGGGGAGAGGTAGGAGTGGTCAGATTCAAGTGGACAGCTGGTCTAGAAGGGAAAGAGACTGCAAGAAATTCCATTATTTAAAATATAATCAGGGAAGAATTGAAAAAAACCCCAACAAACTGATGTTTTTGGTAGCAATTAATTATGTTTATTGTTTAATGTTCATACATATGTTTCAGTGTAGAGTTTGGTGTATGACTACCAAAGCCCTTCATTCCTCACTTGGGGATTTTGCATATTTTGGGGAGCTGGGAATCCAGACTTCCATGAGATTCCAGGAGAGCTTTGTGTCACTTGAAAGTCTCACTTCAGTGCCTGCTAATTGCATTTCTGTTTGTTTTTTTAACCACTTAGCCCTCCCTAAATGCAATAGAACACTCAGATAAAAGAGATTCCTTGGCAGACTGCAGTCCCACTGTCAGTGAGCACTGGGAGAGAGAAGGGACACTGCCTTGTCCCAGCTGAGCACGTCAGGATTGTCATTTCTGCCTTTTAAAGCATTGTCTCCAGTCAGCAGGGTTCCACAGCTGCCTCTGAGGTCATGCTCCTTGTTCAGTGCTGCTGCTCACTTCTGTGGAGTTTGGGGGATTTTTGCTTGGAAATAATATGGTTTTGAAACTGTTTAATGCAGCTTAGCAGTTTATATTGATAGCTAATTAATTGATAGAAATAAATTAGTCTCAAAAATAGAACAAAAACTGACAGTGTCTGGGAGAAAGGAATGGCCACTGGAATTGATTAATTGGTGCTTATTCAGGCAGTGGGTAATTCTTACTTGCAAACTCTGTTAAAGATTTGGTCATCTCAAGTTGTTTTTGAAAACATCTCACTTCATTATAAAGTCAAATCAGTTTCCTGAAACTGCATCAATGCTAAAATTATAGATGACTCTCCTCTTCTGAATTTCAGTTCCTGGAAATTTGCTTGGAAATTCAGCTTATTGTAGAACTTTTTGGCTCAGTTTGATGTCAAGATGGCATTGAGACCTAGCTCTGAAAATCCCACAAAGTATTTGGTGTTCAGTTGCTGGCCTTGGCTCGAGGCCATCCCTGGTTGTGATGGCCAGAGCACACAGTGCCTGTGTGTTGTGAATTTCCTCTTTGCCCTGTCCTGGGCTAAGTTACAGCCATCTCTACATCTTCCTTGTCTTTTATGATACTAATTTAGGCAGTGTACAGTGAGTAACTCTGAAACAATTTATTGCTGGGTGTCTGAGAAATAACTTGGACTGAAAGCAGGCGTTGTGTGAGCACAGCCTGGTGGTGCTTCACATTTACTCTTTATTAGGAGGTGTAGCTGGACCATTTATAATTAAATGTTTGATAAACTATTATTTTTGTTAGATTGCTAAACTGGATTGCCCACTTAATATGATATTTAGAAAGGCAGGACACAAATGTTGTTTCCAGATTGGTTTTTCTTGTGCCAGATAAATTGCGTATTTATTTTTAAATATGTATGATCATCTCGGTTTTGCCCTGATTTTGATAATGGTTATGTTTATTTACTCTAATGGTTTCCCAAGTTCTGGACACAGAGATGTGCTGCAGTCTTTTCAGCTCCCTTTTTGACTGTACAGCAGGTCCATGGGTCCGCTCCCTTTCCACAGAGCTCTGCAAAGCAGGGCTCTGTCTCTTCTCCCAGCATATGCTGAATGCAATTAGGCACCAGTTCAGAAAAAGCTTTGTAAACATTCTGAATTCATGCCACATTTTCTGGTCTCAGGAGCTGCCAAATGCCTAAATGCTGTATTCAAGCCAGATGTCTAAATATATAAAATGAATGACTGAACAAAGTGCCTCCTTAGTAGAGCATATGCCTATAGGGTGGGCAGATCTGAGGAGCCTGAGATCAGCTCCAGAGCAGGATGTTCTGCCAGCCCACACCTCTGGCCAGAGGAGGGAGAGCAGAATATCATCCCCAGATGAGTGTGCAAGGAAGGAGCACCCCCACTGCCATTTTTTGCTCTCTCAGGATGAGGTACCACGTCTCTGCTGGCAGCAGTGTAAGGCAAACCCCGTCACTTCTCCCACTTCTCTGGGACACAGCAGTGCTTGTTCAGCAGGATCAAACTGCCTGGGAACATCTGGCCTTTCATCTGAGCAGCATCCACCCAGCTCTTACAAATGGCCTGCCTTCATCTGGTTAGGTAGTGTATATAACAATATATATAAATATATATAAATATATATATATAACAAGTAGATACTTGTTGCATAGTACAAGGTACACAGAAAAAGAGCTGCTGTGTAAAATAACTCAGGTGCTTCACTGACTCTTAAGTTTGCCAAATTGGTTTTCTCTTCTGTTGAAAGCAGAAAGAGTAAATCAGAAATGAAAGCAATAATTATGATTAATGTTGTGTACTTTAGCTCAGTTGTGGTAGTGGGTAAAACTGAAATCTATTTCAGCAGGTAGAGTAACCTACATAAAAAATCTATTATAAGAGTAGTTTCTGATGAAATTGCTCACATATTTTCATTAGGCAGTCTTGGTCTTCATCTCTTCTTCTCGAAAGGAACAGACCCAGTCCTTTCTCAACCCTGTTTAAAGCAAAGAGTAAGATGCATTTCTATTCCTCTTCTTCACAGAACCTGAAAGTTCAGCAATCTTACAAAGCTGGCTGCCTTTGTTTCCCTGTTAGTACAAGCTGCCTAACTTGAGCTTCTGGGTGGTGCATGTTTGGTCTGGTGTGGACTGCAAAGAACCTCAGAGAAAAATCACGCAAGGCTTAAAACTTAACCAGGATTTGAATGTCTTAGAAATAATCTTATTAGTAATCTTGAGCACAACTGATCCAGGCAGAGTGCAGTGAGGGGCCACTGGTAATGTAGAAACTCTGTAGTAAGATTTAGTAGCAATAATAGTCCATGATGAGGGAAGGTAATAACTCTCCCCTCACAGCTTCTGTGTAGTCCAGCAAGGCTGGAGCGGTTTTTCTCCTCTGTAGCAATGAAATGGAACAATTCCAGTGTGTGAGGGAGCTGCCAGCAGCAGAATGTGCTTTTGTTTGTCCCTGGCAGGTGTGGCAGTGTGGGGGAAGCGTGGAGGTTCTGCCCTGCTCCAGGATTGCCCACATTGAACGAGCACACAAGCCCTACACGGAGGATCTGACTGCCCACGTCCGCAGGAACGCGCTCAGGGTGGCCGAGGTCTGGATGGACGAGTTCAAGAGCCACGTCTACATGGCCTGGAACATCCCCCAGGAGGTGAGGCACAGACTCCTCTGCTTCCCAGCTTTGCCTTTAGGTCCTCTGGTTTATATTCCTAGCCTGAATTTTGATTTTCCTGGTAGGATTTTATGTGTATGTATGTATTTATCTCTCACATACAGCACAAGGTGTTTGCCTATACATACACAATTGGATATAAACATATATATGTAGTTGTGTCTTATTCTTGAATCATTTTCTTCTCTTTAGATTCCTTAAAAATTAATTTCTTGTCAAGTTTATTCTCTTCACTGATGACTCTTCACAGATATTTTGAACTAGTAGCTGCAGAAATATGGGGGAAAAAACCCCATCAAATCTACATTGCACATCTTAATTTGAATTTGAGTCTCCTATTTGCCATCACAGAGAGCTATAATTCCAGCAGATTTGTGAGGATTGATCTGCCAGGGGGTGTTGACATCTCTTGATACAAGTGAGGTGTCTGATAAGTGTTTCACATCAGTGAGGGTGGCTGGTGGGTGTCATGACACATTGCAGAATCTTCCTGCAGCTCCCACTGCACTTCTTGTCCTGATTTCTTTTCTGTGGATGAGCACTGCTTGGTCCATTGTGCTGAAGATAATGTCAGAGTTCAGTTTGATTTTAGCTGCTCTGTGTTTCTGTAATCAATGGTGTTTAATCTGTGAATAGCTGTGAGCTACAGGGCTCAGAGCAAGGGGGCTGTGCTTAGAATCTGTGTGAGCAGATTGCTCCCACCTAGAATCATGGCTCTATTGAATTTGGAGTTTAACTCAGAGCACAGCTCTCACCATTACACAAAAGCAAACAGTCTAGACTTAAAGGGCAGATTAATTCTTCTTTAATAAAATCTCTGATTTGACAACAGTTCAGAGAAACTGGTTTTGCTGCAATTTCTGGGTCAAGAAATGAAATGCTGTCCTTCTCCTTTAGTTTAATTATAAGAAAATGTTAAAAAAACCCAGCTAAATATATGAATGCTGATGTTGGTTCAGCTGCTCTCAATAGCTTCTTGCATCTCTCATAATTAAAACTAGATAATTCTGGCAAAGTGGGGAAGTCACTGTCCTATTTTTAGGTTTCAGCATTAGCCTCATAATTTGCTTTGACCATGAAAAAAAATCCTCTATAACTTGATACATCTAATTTTCTGAAAGTCTCACATTCACAGAATCCCAGCTGCCCTCTGTGTGTCCCTGTTTGGAGTAGTTGCACAGCAGTCCACACAAGAATAAAGATGGGGTTACTTCTTTTATGTCAAAGCAATTCCAAATTAATAATATTTGCAATTAGCTTGGTAGATTTAAATTTCAGTTCCTATTTAATACTGTTAATTATCTTCTTGAAGATTGGTTGGTCTTCATTGGTTGATCCAAGTTTTAGTTTTTTGGCTTGCAAACATAACATTAACTTAGAAATTCCTTTTTACCAATGAGGATGTACAGTGCTATACACTGACTTGCATCGTATTCATCCAGATGTGATGGTGGTGTTAATCTTGTGCAGATTTGAGATCTGAATGCAATTTGAGATCAAATTAATAAAGAATACAAAAATAAATTGCAACTGGACAAGTACAGGAGTAATTCTTTATCTGGAAGCTAATGGATTCTGGTAATGGACTGTATAGGTAATAGAAATTTATTTGGTTACACTGGTCAGGACTTTCCATGACATGTTATTCCAAAATGTTAACCATGGGACCTGGTTTTTTCCATGGAAGAATTCCCAGATCTCTGAGAAGTCAGATGTTTCCAAAGGTTTTGGTGTTTGGGAACTAATAATGAGAAGAAAAAGGAGTCAGAGTCATTTTGCAGAGTGCTGTGAGTGCCCTCCTGGGACTCTGTGGGCTTCTCTCTGAAGTACTGAGGGCTTTGGATGGAGACCTCTGCTGCCATGGTGACTTCTGCATCACCAGCACTTGGACAATAGATTCAGAATTCAGAAAAACACTTGAAACTCACAGGAAAGGTTCTGCAAGCCCCAGAATCAAGAGCTGTGCTCTCCATGTGTTCTGCCTGTGCTCCTGGTTTTGTTTGTTTGGTTTGTTTTTTCCCCATCATATTCTCAGCTTTGAGGAACACACTCTGTTTTTGGTGGTGGTAAAGCCATGTGCTCCATGTGAGCTGTTTCCCTTCTCCAGCTGCATGAAAGGAAATGATTACTGAGGCTCCTGATGCTCTTTCTTACACCGTGAGCTGTGAGGGAACAGGCACTGGTGATTCAGGGCTGCACAAGAAAGGATTTGAGAGGCAGGGCACCAGTTTAGCCCTGGATCCCAGGAAGCCTTGTTAGTGCTAGAAGCAGAATGTCTGTGTGCTGGCACCCTCCTCTTCCCCCACACAAGGGCCAGATACTCTGGCAAGTGCAGGAGGGGTGTTTGATTGATTGAGCACCCTACAGCCTCTTCATTTAGCCACTCGCTGCAAAACTCAGAAAAAATTGCCACTTAAGGAGTAGCTCCACATGAAGCTTTACCAGTGATGTAGGGCTTGAGAAGGGGAGTCACCATTTCTGAAATCTTTATGTCTGATCTGTGTATGCCAGATACCCTTTTCTGTACTTTGCCAATGTGGAAGCCAATTTTACTTTAGATAGAAAATGCTTCCATAGTAAAATATGCTTGTTCCAGATTAGCATTAATTCAGTGCTTTGGGATGCAGTGGTTGCTTCAGCAGCTCAGAAATGTAGATACTTACACTTTTTGTGTTGTGTAACTAAGAGAATTCAGTGCTTTCAATGTTTTTTTTTAAATCTCGTCTCATGGCTGACAAAATCTTTGGGGTGTTTATGGCCCAGCAAAGGCTGTTGTTTAAGGAGATAGATTATAAGATTTCCCTGTGAAAATGTACTTATCCTGTGTTTTGCTCTGAGGCAGAAGTCATAGAGAAAAATGTCTCATTTTACTTCCTGTCAAGAGCAGCCACAGATCTGCACTTAGATCCCTCTCTAAAAATTTCTGCTGTGTGATTTTGATGTGATAAATTATTGATTTTTATATACAGGGCCTTTATGAAAGTCATGCTTTGTGATCTGCTTTTATGAAAAGTAGAGACTGGGTTAGCCAGAAATGTAAAGGAGAATAAAAATTACAGGAGAAATTATTCAGCAATTGCTTTTAACAAAAATAACAACTTCTCTTTCTACATAACAAAAGAACTTTAATAAGTGCTATTTCAGAGAGGTGAGCAGAGCTTCTGCTCTTTGCAGTTAAGCAGTAACCCAGACTCCAGGAATGGCCAGAAAGTGCCATACACTAGTGATTAGAATGCACTAGTGATTAGAATACACTAATGATTAGAATACACTAATGATAGGGCCACAGTGGGACAGCAGCAATGCCTGTGTTTCCAGGGCAACTTGCTGCTTCCTGCCAATTCCTCTTGGCTTTGGAAAATGCCAGGGAATTAGAGAGCAGCAGTTTGACTCTTGGGGATGGTGCTGTGCAGGGCCAGGAGCTGGGCTCCATCATCCTGGGGTCCCTCTGCATGAGGGGGGTTCTGGGTGTTCAGTTTACACAGATGTATCACTGATGGCTTTTTCTGCCCTCTGTTCCATGTGCAGGACTCTGGGATCGATATTGGTGATATCTCAGAGAGGAAGGCCCTAAGGAAAAAGCTGCAGTGCAAGACCTTCAGGTGGTATCTTGTCAGTGTGTATCCAGAAATGAGAATGTACTCGGACACCGTGGCCTACGGGGTGGTAAGGATCTGCTTTACATTTCCCACTGTGCAAACATGGGGGAGAAAGCTGTAATAGTGGAAGGAACTCAGGAGGGCAAAGCCTGACTCAAAGTAAAAGAATCAAATCAGTTTGGAGTCACTAGTTAAATAATGTGTTAGACTGGTTAGCTGACAGAGACAGCTGCTCTGCTGTCATTTGTGCTGAGGTATCCTCAAAGTTACCTTCCTCCCTGATTTTGTGTTGTTTTTTTGCTTCATGGCTTGATCCCACACAGAAATACTCAAGGTGTGATTTTGCAGACTCATTGGGGCTGACAAGTTTGTGGCAGTAGGGGAACTCACAAAATAGACTCAGTATTTCAGCAGCAACCTTCTTAAGATTGTAGCCAGATCTTAATTTAGAATCATGGAGTCATTTAGGATAGAAAGACCTTTAATATCATCAAATCCAACTGGTAAAGGCTGATGCTTTCTCTTACTAAGCTTTTAGCCATTTAAGGGAAATCCTGATTCACCCTAGAACAGGTATGACAGTCAAAGCCTACCATTCCAAGCTGACCAGGTCTCACATGGCTAACCTGTGCATAAAGCACCACTGGGGAGGTTCAGGAATAACCCTGTAGAATAACAAGAATAACAGAAAGTGCAGGTAAATCCTTGCATTTTGGGCTTCTCATTGGCCAGGAGTGCCCTTGTCTGTGCTGCAATCACACTTGAGCTGCACGGTGCTGATTAAGGCAGAAGCAGTTCTTGCCCCTCAGAACCTGGCAAGGCCCCAAACAGAGAGGGCATGGCATGGAAGATAAGCAGAGTAAATTAACACAGGCCCATAATAAAGTGATAGTAGTCCTAGGATGTCCTTTTCACATTCTCTTCCACTCTCATTTTTAAAAAAATTGATTCCTGTGAATTAAATTTTTCTTTTTGCGTGACAATCCTAATTAGGAAATGCAAGAGCAGGTCAGACAGGTGAAAGGTTTTTCTTCAGACATTCCTTCTCAGAAAGGAAACTGAGCTGTGCAGTTGGCCAGTCTGGCTCTGGAAGAGCCCCGAGGGTGCCATGGAGCAGCTGCTGTGCTTTGGCAAGTGGAGGGATTGCACATCCTGCAAAGTTCTGTGGCCCCTGTGATGAGAAGGGAAAATAACCGTGCTGGCTTTTCATACAGTCACACAGGAAAAGCACTTCCAGCGAAGGTTTAGTCATTGCTGAATGCAGGAGATGATGGTTACCTTCCAAACCAGTTCAGAAGAATGCCCAAATGGCACCTGTGTGGCAGCACCGTGGCATTGCCCTCAGTGATGCTGTGATCCAGGCAAGGGTGGAGTTTCCTGAGGAGAAGGAGGCACAGCAGCTGACTGCTGCATGGTCCTGCTTGTAGCTGGCTCTGGATAAAAACCAGTCTTTTCAGGTAGGAGTGATACAGTATAGATAAAGGAAGAGCTAAGGTACTCATCTCAGGATCAACTCCACATTGTGCAAGTCAAAATGAAAATCAGAAACAGAGATTTTGTGCTCTGCTGAGAGATTTTTACTAACCAAGAGTTTTTTGCAGAAAAGCTGAACACAGTGGTCTGCCTGGAAAACAGAAGGCTTCGGGGAGACCTTAGAGCAACGTTCCAGTGCCTGAAGAGGGCTAAAGAGAGCCGGAGAGGGACTTTTTACAAGGACAGGACAGGACAAGAGGGAATGGCTTTAAACTAAACAAAGGCAGGGTTAAATTAGGTATTTGGAAGAAATTCTTTAAGGGTGGTGAGGCACTGGAAAAGGTTGCCCAGAGAGATCATGGACTCCTTGTCCTGGAGCTGTTCAAGAGCAGGCTGGATGGGTCTTGGAGTAACCTGGTCCAGTGGAAGGTGTCCTAGGAATGGCAGGGGGCTTGGGATGAGATCATCTTTAGTGTGTCTCCCAACCCAAGCCATTCCATGATCCTGTGATTTATTACTGCCCAACAATGCACGTGGCTGTCATCAGCTGGGGCAGGTGTGAGGAGCTGGCCCTGTTTGTACCAGCACAAGGGAATTGTGGCCAGCAGTGACAGCAGATACACAGGGAGTGTTTTGTGAAGCACACAGCTCATCACTTCATGAAACACCCTCATATGACGTGAGATTAAGTGTCCCTATCCTTTTAGTAAAAGAATCACTTGGGAGTCCAGTCCTCTCTTGTGTCTGCTTTGCAGTTTGCTTGCACATCTTGCAGCAGAGAAAGGTGATATTTCAAAACAAGTCAGCTGTTTTCTGATCCTCTAAATGCTTCCATTCATCAACTGGCTTCATTTTTCAGTAGAAAATAGAGATACTGCTACTATAGCATTTTCATCAATTTAAAAAATCCTGAGTAATTGAAAAAGCTGTCTGAATGGGGGTAAAGGTATATAGGCAGCTACAGAGACAGCCCACATATTTATTATCCTACATTTCCTGGTGTTCTGTGAGAGTTTGGGAAATAGCTGCATCATTCAGGTCTAGTTTATGCTGTGGGATACACCTGGGGTTGGTGGCAGAGTAAATATTTGGGAGGCAAATTTCTTTCTGAATTGTGCAGTCCCCTCCTATTTAGAAGAAAGCAATGTCACTGGACCAAAAGCTGCTGTATTTGGTGAAACATTAATTATTTCTGGGGTTCAGCTCAGGGATGGTCTGTTATATTTTGGGTTGGATTATTCATAAGATTAAGTCTTGGCTAAAATTGAGTTACTTGGGTTAATTGTTGGTTTCCACAAAACCACTAGATTTTGTAAAGCAATTGTTCCTGAGAATCTGGGCCTCAGATTTTGAAATAATAGCATTATTAGTTAACAGGTCAGTGGCTGCTCTGTTTCTGGTTTTTTGCTTCCTTTATTATGGGGATTGTTGTGGCAGAGTTTATAATATTAGCATTAGGAGTGGAGTTTGCAGAAGAGGTTTTGAAAACACAAAGGCAGTGATAGACCCAGGCATGAATTAATAAGGCTGATATTTATCACTGGTTTGGATAGAGAGGGCTGCTTAGACATCTGTTTGTGATTAGAAACATGTCTGTGGTTACATTACAAGAAATAGAAAGCTTTGAGAGAGAAGATTTTATGTCATTTTCAAGACTTTATTTCTTGAGAGCAATGCCTGTATTGATACCTAATGCGTATTTTCTCTTCAGTGTTGAGATACATCCTGTCCATTACTGGATCTGGAGTTGGGTTTGGAGAGATGAGTTGATGGTTTTGATTTTATTCACTGCCAGGCTTCAGCCTCTGGCTTGTCCACTTTTCTTAGTGCCAGTGCAGTCCTAGGCTTCCTTTCTACAGATGTGAATCTGCTCTCAGAACTGGCCCCTGTGCAGGGCTGGCAGAGCTGCCCAGTTAATCCCAGGAGGCTGCAAAGCACATCCCCACTCACATCAGGCATTGTCCCTTGTGCTCTGAGCCAGTCCTTTATCCACATCCATGGCTCACATCCTCATCCTCATGCTCTGAGCAGCCCTCCCAGCTCCCTGTGCTCATTAATTAGCACTTCTCCTTCAGAAAACTGCCTCAGCATTGCCCAGCTTTCTCCCAGGGCCAAGAGCTGGGCAGTCTGTTCATTGCTGGCCGTGGGTTAGCCCAGAATGATCAGGGGAGCTGCTGCACAACAATTGCCCTGAAGCCTCCAGGTGTCAGCTGAAAGCAGTTTTTTGAATTATTTCCAGAAATCAGAAGACTCTCCTGAGTCATTCTTAAAAGCTGTTTAATACCTCATCCATCTTGCTCAGCCTGATACATTCAGGTTCTGTATATTGTGTGTACCAGAGACTAAATATTTTTGAAACATACAGAAAAAAAAATACTCCTATCTCTGAAGGCTTTTTGAAATATACCCTGCCTGAAACTTGGTGAAACATTATTGGAATCAGTGGTGCTGGATTATCTGCAAGGAAGAATTTAGTCCAGATGCCTTCTCTTCAAGATCTTTACTGCAACATATTTTAATTTTGCATACTTCCTTCCTCAACTATATATGATTTATTTTTTCAAAGAAAAGAAAGTAATCATGCTATCTTTTTCTCATGTAAAACTTGCTTGATTTCTTTTTCCTTCTGTTTATTTTAGCTGCAGAATTCCCTGAAAAGTGATTTGTGCCTTGACCAAGGGCCAGACACAGAGAATATCCCAATCATGTATATCTGCCACGGAATGACACCACAGGTTAGTTTGTCTAATGATCTCTGATTTTGCTCTGCTGTTAGCAGATTGTGTGGGAGGAACCTTCTTGTACCTGTCATTGTTTTCCTGCAACAATCCCTTGGTAAGATGTTCAGTAGCTCTTTTATACAGAGGCAACATTATTTCTGCTGTAAATTGAGAAGCACTGGTATAATAATGCTTTGACAAGGAAGCTGATTTATTCATTTTGAAAGAATTTAAGGAGTATGAGAGTCAGCACTGACCCAGATTTGCTGATAAAAGCTTTCATTTCTGATCCTTAACTGTGCCTGTCATATGAAGGAAGCAATGCATTTTAAAACATTTTGCATAAGCACAAAGGTATACTCACAGTTTATTTATGCATTATCTGAAGCAATGTGGTTTTTCTACTTTATATATTTACTGCCTCATTTCCACAAATCTGAAATGTCCAGCCACCTTCTTCACACCGTACAGCTGTGCCAAATTCCAAACACTGTTCTTGTGAAAACCCCTCCTCTCAATGTCCTTTTGTTCTTTCTCTGCTGTTGTCCTGTTACCCTGGTATGTGCCAAAGACTCAAATTATCAAAACCTTTCCATTTTCCTGCATAACAGCTGCATTTACTAACTTGGCAGATGAGAGGGTTCAGACCTGTGTCTCCCCAGCCAAGCACATGGGCTCAAGTGAAAGGGTTTCCTTGACAGGAAAAACAATGTTGCATGGCCTAGAAGATGCTTGTCAAAGACAGATGTGCAGATTATTAAACCTTAAAAGTAACTTATGTAAAAATGACATAAAGGAAATGGATATACTTGTGGAAGTGACTGGAGAAACTGAAAAGTCCCTCCATTTGAATTATTTTTCTACCTAAGGTTTATATTTGCTGTCTCATAACACTCCACCCCATGAAGTTATGGAATGTGGTTTTACCCAGGAATTCTCAATTACTTGACTTGGCTGTACAGCAAATGAATCCTCATTTTTTTCATGTCTCAGAAATAAACACAGAGCAGCAGGGTGGTCTTGTCCCCTGTGCCTGCCCCTCACAGTGAACTGGACACAAGAGCTTGGTGAGCTGCAGACACAATTCTCTGTTCTGCACTGGCTTCCTCTGCTGGGAACCTTTAATGGTGATCACTGGTGGCATCGTGCTTGAGTAAATTGTGAGTGATGAAAGCTGGAATGTCTGGAAATCCCATCCATCAGACTCCCTGCCTGCATGGGCTGTGCCTTGTGTGTCACAGAATGATTGCCTGCAGGAGGTTTGCTGGCAGTCCCCAGTGTTTGCCCAGGCACCTGCAGCTCACCCCTGAGCCAGGCCCTCACTCCTCATCCCCTGGGAGGGCTCTGGCACCCTCCTGGCACATCTGTGAGAGCAGCACCCTGCAAGCATGCCTGCAAATTCCAGCTGGAAACTTGAGTTCTAGCTGAGAGGCAAACAGCAACAAAAGTCATTTCAGTCAGCACAGTTGTGTATTCACAGATAAAGAACTTCCTTTGAATGCCAGCCCGAGTTCTGTACAAATGAGATAGCAGCACACAAATGGCAGAGGGGAAGAGGCAAGGGAAACTCTTCTTGACAAGACTCTGCTCCTTCATAATTAAAATGTTGTGTCTCCTTCCCATTACTGTGTATTTAATTTTGTAACTAATGTTAAAAACAACATCCAAAAAGGCCAAATTCGGGTAAGATCCCAGTAATGACTGAGAACTTTTCCAAAAGAGACTTAGACTTTTTCTGTGTCAGGGATTATGGTATTAAGAGGGAAAGAAGTAACAAACATCACTCAGCATACTTCTGTGAGATTTGCAATGTTGTCTCTTGCTTGAGCAGAGCTGCAGCCCACCAAGTACTTTTTCTTTTGCATGTTGGAAATATTTGTGTAAATATTCCTTTTAATCTTAGTGTTCTCACTAGTAGCCACAAAAGACACTGGTAAGATGTTAGTTTTATTCTAGCAGTGGTGAAATGCTATAGAAGGGGGATGTTTTCCCCACCTGGCAGTGCTTACCAAAGCAGATCAGTGCCCTGAGTGTTTGGGTGATGCTGTTCTTAGCTCACATGCAAAGATTTTCCTGTTGCAGCTATTCCATTTACAGTTTTATTGCTGCCACCCCTTGGCACACTTGCATCTAGATGTGCAGGAATACATCTGACTGCCAGGAACCCTCCCTCATACAAAGTTAAGTTGCTATTATCAGTTACTACTATAGCCCCTCTTCTAAACTGGGTATCTTCCTTTTCTTTCCCCACTAACAGCTTTCGGATGTTTTTGAATTTTCAGCTTTTTGCACAAGAAGTGGCTTAGATAAAGTGTTTGACATCAAGGAATTGTTTCACAGTCATTGGTACAGCTACTGTTTCCTTTTAAATGCTTTCTATCAGAAAGAAATCATCAAAGTCAATAGAAAGGGAACTGAATACCTGACATTAAAATTCCACGGTCTGTTTTTTTTTTAGACAGTGTCAAAAACATCACGTGTAGCTTCATAATTAAAAGCAGTAGCAAATGGAAAGGAAATATCCTAAAATATTGCAATGAAATGATCAGCAGTGTATTTCCCCATGGTGTTTCAGTTTAGTTTTAAATAGAATCAGGATTAGTGATGGTAAGACTTCTGTGATGAGATTTCCAAACCTTTATGCAATCCACTCTTTGTCTACTGTAACTCACGTTGGCATATTCACAGTTAATTGCTGCAAGTATCTTGGAGTGCTTTATAACTGTGTTTCAGATAGAGAAACTGATTGTGTGGTTAAATACTAGGAGGGAATGGAAAATCAAAATATAATCTGTCCATTTCTGTAGTCCTCTGATACTACTAATGTGAAAGAATTCCTCACAGCAGGGTGTTTGGCTTGGCTTGAAAAGACAGAAAGCACTTGAAAAACTAGAATCCATGATTAGGTGTGTTTCCTACCCTCCCTCCACCTGCAGAGGGTTCCTTCCAGGGCAGCTGTGCTTCATCCTGGTCCTGGGCACTCCAGGAGGCAGGGGCTGTTCACTGAGGAGAGCACCTCCAGTGTTCAACCAGTGGGAAAACAAAAAGGGGGATGATGCTGCAATGCACTCACAGGAATTTAAGGGAAGATTTGCTATTCCTTTACCTGTAGTAAGAGGGAATTCATTGCCAAATGCTGCCCAGATAATTAGGGTTTCTGTTGAGAGCATCCTTGTCTAAGTGGTGGCTGCCTGAGTAGCTCATCCTCCCCTGAATCTGTTGCTGAAGGGTATTTCTCCCTAAGCATCACATCTTTCCATTCCTGCCTTTGGACAGTCTCTGCCCAAGCCAGTACTGTCATTTCTGCTCCACCTGTACAGCCACACACAGGGTGCTGGCAAAACTCATCTGCAGGAGCATCCCCATCACAGCAGAGCATCTGCTGCTCCTCAGGCACCAGGGTACCAGCAGCTGTTAGATGTGCACAGACCCAGCGTTCCAATCTCCTCCCAGGCACCAGGGGGGTTTGGCACCTCTGCTGTGCTGCTGGCCACTGCCTGCAAGGGGCTTCCAGTGCCTGTGTCAGCCTGTCACATCAGGCCTCTCCTGCTGTGCAGCTGCTTAGCACAGCTGGACAAAACCCAGCTTCTGTGACTGTTGAAACAGCCAAAAAAGTAAATGCAGCATGGTAAAATAGTTAACTACAGGAGTTGAACCAGGCTCCTGCCACACTGCTTAGTGGTGGCAGAAATTGTGCTGCTTTAATCACCTAAGATCAGTTCAGGTGCAGAACACAACATCTCCCCATCAGAGTGATGATAAAGAGGGTCAGGAAAACTGGGAGATGAGGTGGCCTGGCAGTGAGAAGAGATAAATGTGAAGGCAAAACGATACCTAAAACATAAAGTTCATGTGAGGCTCTGGGGGTTTTGCTGGGGTTTAAGTGGTTCATGTAGAAAAGGATAAAGGTACTGTTCTATTTCCTGAGCCTGTTAAGGTAAAGCAACAATTCTATCATACATTTAGGCCCTAGAAGATCTATTTCCTGCCCTAAAAGATCTATTTCCTGCTGTGCCCCTGTTCAGCATGGAAAAGGTGGTTGTTGCACTTGCAGCAAGTAGATGCCCCAGGCCTGGCTGCATTCCCTTCCTGACTCTGGGCTCTGCCTCAGCCTGGATGTTTGTTGTTGTTGGTGGTGAACACTGCTGTTTAACCAGGCCTGTAATCTTGAAGGCAGGCTGATGACAGCATGTCACTTGCATTAAAACTGCTCCTGAGCGACAGTTTAGAAGATTCTTTTATGAGAATGAAATAGCACATTATTAGAGACTTTATTATATAATAAATAAGTAGCATCAATCAATGAAGTGATATTTAAAGTGCAGATTTACCTTGAAAATTGCTCATGACTGAGGGGATAATGGGCAGTTCTGTTCCCTTGTTCAATAGCGTCTGGCTCATATAATTCTCAATTTATAAGCAGTTAAACCCCAAAGCTCATCCAGTGATGTGAAAGTCAATAGAAACCAGTTAGATTTTGAGGAATTCAAGCTGAGGACCAGGGTCAGAAGACTAAATGGAGAGAATCACTAGAAAAGAAATCCAGGTGAGAAGGGACACCCATTTATATCATTTCATATTCTTGCAAGAGATTGCAGAAGTGACACCAGCCCTGCCTGGTGTGAATTATTGCATCTCTGTGGAAGGGAGTCTTGCCAGCACATAAAGCTCTGCCAGCTCACACTGTACAGAGCTCTGACCTGAAAGCATCATGTATTCTAAGCACAGCGTCTCAAGTACTGGGAGCAGTTGCAAAAACTCCCAGAAACTTCTAAACCTCTTAGTATGGTTCATGAATGCTTCTTTTAAAGTGCTTATCATATATATTTTTATGAAAGCTTTCTTTCCTTCAGTCAAATCTCTTTGCATGGTAATTGTTCATACACAGATATTTTTCACACATTTCAGAAAATGTCTTCTGTTATTTAGAAGTTTGTTAAGTGTGTGTGTGTCAAACACATAAGCATTGCAAATTGAGACTCTGTGCAAGAACATAGTTTAACAGAAGGCCTCAG